ACTGAATGCATAATTAACAGATGAAGCAAGACACATCCCCCTTCCTCTGTTTTCTTTTTGTAAACCATCTACATGGCAGAGAACACAGTAATAGGAAAATCTGAGAAACACTTAAAAAAGGTTGGGTCCTATGTATCCCTGAATGTATGTATGTGTGTGTGTATGTATGTATATACATGTGTGTGAATGTGTGTATGTGTGTGTGTGTGTGTATGAGTTGTGAGTTCCTACAGATTATATAGTTATATAGTTTATATAGTTCACGTATTTCAGGCACTTAAGTTTTACCAGGTAGACAGAATATTTCAGGTGTATCTAAATTGACTACATGGTCACTTTGTGGACACAATCTACTTTAAATGGAAAATATATTCTGTAACTGAGTATATCAAATAAGAAAAACACAAATTAATAATGAATCAGAATAAAGCAAGGTCCTTAACAGAAACATACCCAAGAACCAATGAAAGGGTAATTTCGGATAGGTCAAGGTGATCAACCTAGAATCTGCACAGACAAGGCTTTACCTCCTGTGAGGAAACGTGAACGTCGGTCACACAAATCTCTGTTGTTTATGCATTTATACGTAAATTCTAGAGAAAGTAGACTGCAGGGGTACAAATGAGCCCTTTTATGCCGACAGGTAGGAGAACAGGAGAATGGGAGTCAGGATAGCAGAGGCACGGGGAAAGTCAGAGGTACGGAGCTCCAGGAAGGGACATCCGTCAGAAGCGCTTGGCATGAGTAGGGAATGATGCACAGCAATAAACTGTGGGGGGAAAATAAATGGCAACATATGAAGACAAACTCTGGCAAAATAAATATCACCATCATCATTCACCTTCCAGCCCCTGGAGATTTAACGCCGTAGACCGTGATGTATCGGCCGCATTATATGATTGTTATTTCTTCTGTTTCCTCCTAGTCTTTGTGGATGTCAGTTGTTAAAAAGGTCTACTGATCCAACATACACAGTTCTGTCCCTTGGAAGAACCAGATCATAATCAGCACTGAACTCACTGTTGTCTTTTAGGCTGTCAAATACAATCATTCGGATTTAGCTACAACCTTAAAGACATTGCAGGGAGAGTTGCTGGCCAGCCGGTAGGCAAAAGCCATTTGTTACCATTTGGCAAAAAGTCCAAGTTACTTGCAGAGCTCCAGAGGAAAACAGATAATATCATTTCATGATGCCCTTCATGGCAGACCAATCCATCCCGACCCTGATAATGCTGTTCCTGAGCAAGGCTCAGGCATTAACTGAGAAAATACGGATTGATTTGCTGAGCTGGAGAAAGACCTCACTCACACATGCGTGTTGAGATCTACTGTTCTGAAGAAGCAAACCCCTTTCGGGAAGCTTCTCAGGGGGAGACTGACCCCTCTGAGAAAGGGCCATTCCTTGCAAGTAGCTTAAGCCCGTGAGGGTCTCAGGGATAGGGCTTAAAATAAAGAAGGGCTGTGTCTGAATTCACATTATCTCAGACAAATCCTAAAACAATAATCTAGAAGACTAGTGTCAGCAGGGGAATGCTTCTTCCTAATCTATTCACTCTTGGACTAATGATATTTAATAATAATCCTGAAAAATCAAGCTGTCCCTTCCTTACTTCTGTGAAGAACTTAAATTTACATGAATTCAGAAAGAAGTCCTCATATCTTTTGATGTTAAAAAAAAGGTTTTTCTATCCAGTCTGACTTCATGCTACAAGTTAAAGCTTCAAGAGACACAGACACCCATTGAGATTCTTTGTGCTAGCATGGGGCTTGGCAAACAGCTTATGAAAACCAAAGATAAATTTGCTGTCAGCATTCCTACTTCTATTTGCTCTTCCTCTGCAGTGGTAGATTGGTAAATGGTTAGGAACCGGCTCTCAGGAAAAAATAAAAGGGATAGATAGATCAATCCATCAATAGATTGATGGATACCAAGTCCTACTGATATAAAGCATGGATAGCACAAAATTTACAAGCGATAATAAAATATATGATACTCTTTGTTGTAAATTCTTTTTTAAAAAACCGTGGAAGTTATCTATTTATTTATCTTAAAGATTTTATTTATTTATGAGAGAGAGAGAGAGAGTGGGGTGGGGAGGAGGAGCTGAGGGAGAGGAACAAGCAGACTCGGTGCGGAGCGCCGAGCCCGATGCGGGGCTTGAACTCACGACCCTGAGACCATGACCTGAGCCGAAATCAAGAGTGGGACTGACTGAGCTATCCAGGCACCCCTCTTTGTTGTAAATTCCATATAACCCTCAGCTCCCTTAACCCTCTATGACTGATTTCCAGCTATGGATGCCAGTCGCTGCATGTGGCATTGGAAGGGGATGCGCCATAGCACACTATTATATGGTATTTTCACTGTCACAATGCAATTGAATCATAGTGATTCGAGATATGTATATAACCTCAAAAACCCAGAAATAGTAACATGTCGTAAAATCATTAGGAAGTGATGAATTTTCAATGTTTGCTATATTTTTTGTGTTATTTGTAAGCTTAGCTTACATAATTGACTTTTTAATAGCAGTCCCGCTTAGCGATTGGCTTGCAAAATTCCCGAGATTTCAATGGTCTGTTCTCACTAGCTGGTGTGAGCTGGGTCCAGCCCACACCTGTTGCACTGACTTGTCACTAACTCCTTCAATTCTCTCTTGGGTCAGGGACATAGCAGCTTGTAAATAAAGCACTGAAAAGTAGTTAGCAAAGGGAAGTAAGTTCGGGGGAGTTTTAAAAATGCTATCCGTAGCCCTATCGTGATTCTCACTGCTTTGCTTCTAAGTAGCATTCAGTCTTTAGTTCATGCTGGGTGGATTTCATGGTTTTCAAGGTACGATAACACCAGGCTAAAGATCCCGTTCCATTTTTTTTCCAACACGCTTCTGAGTAGGGACAGGCTCTGCTCCCACAGTCACCAGTTTCCTTCTATTTGCTCACTACCCACTTCCTGTTTTCCTGGATGCTCGCCCTTTCCCATGGCAGTGGGAGTGGCTGTGTGGCCAGCTCTCCTGCTCAGGGAAGGAAAATGGCAAACAAACACCAGACCAGGGCAAGAGTGCTTCCCTGGGCTCGCTCTGAAGTCCACACACCTGCCAGGCTTCAAGGGTGCTTCCACCACAAACAAGATTCCCAGAATTGTCTTTGTGTCATAAGGTTGAAGATTAACTGCTTTGTTTTGAGACAGGCAAAGTGTTTAATTTGGGTTCAGATTTTAGAGCACGCTGTTAGGTAACTTTAAACAGAAGCCTGGTCTCAACTGAGGGGTGTTAGCAAAATTCTTGCCTATCTTTTCCTGCTTTCTGCTCTGCGCTCAGGCAAGTTCACGGCTGATCACAGAGCCAGAGCCTTTAGGGAGCATCTGGCCCAGAGTGTGGGGATTTGATTACAGCCATTTGCCAGTAAGCCACAGAGCTGTGCCCAACGTACTCCTACATCCTCGGTTCTTCTGCTGAGTCACTCTGCCTAAAATACGATTTATGATTATGATGATTATTATGAATTTTATATGAAGCAAACTCAAATTACTATGTCTAATTGAAAATGGCTAGCTATTTTCTCTCATTTTATTTCCCTATTTTAGAATTTCCTTAAAATTCTTTAGAATGGGCTACTTAATCACAGATTGAAAACCAACCACCTAGAAACCTCCGTGGTGTTGCTGGAGGTGCTATGACTAGACAGGTCATTTGGATCAGGGGACGGGGACCCATTTTTCCTGCATGCCTTCAAAATCCTTTGCCAATCACCCCAGCGAAGTATAGCCAAGGGAAGACTGATGTACTCAAACCTATCATAGGAAAATGTCTACTAAAAGGATAGTCAGTGAATAGTTTAATTGTAAAAATATAAAGCCCACTGAGGATCTGTAATTTGAACTCTGTACGCATTGATCTTTAAATCTCCAGGGTCTTCTCACTGGAATAGGTGAGGGATGACTTGGTAAAGGCCCAGTCGAGACCAGCTCTGCAAGTCTTGGGAACACACAACGCAATGCAACTAGTCACATAGGCCGCATCATGGTCATTCACAAGGAAGGCTCCGCTGAAATCCAATGTCAGCAGAAAGCAAGCTGATTAGAAAGTTGCAGGGGAAAAAAAGATTCCATGTGCACAAGCCATGCACCCGAGGCACCTAAGTGCAAGATTAGATGTGGACGGGTTAGTAGGAAAGCTTATTCGCACGAAACACATGGAATTCAGAAGACAGACCCGGGAAGCCCTATTCCACTGTCACCATAATTATACTCACGGTGACGTTTGTGCTATAAGGCTTTGAAACGGGGCACAGCTCAGGAATTTTCCTCCTATGTGTGCAATAAGTATACACCAACTCAGACTCCACAGGCCATCCCGGCCACGGCCGCCAGGAGGCACTGAGAGCAGGACCGGGGAGAGAGGAGCCCCACTTCTGCCCCCGGGGGGGTGGCAGAGAGCAAGTCCACGAGCTTTGGGCACACGCACCTCACACTGGCCCCTCAGCTGACTTGGAAAAGGCTACGTTCTGTCTACTTTATCTTCCCCACTGGCTCACGGTCCTCTCTCTGCACCCGCTCACAACATGCCTGATGAGCTCCAGACGGCAACTAAACCTAGGGTTGCGACCCGAGTGTAAGGGAAGCTGTGGGCTGTTTACACAGCATGCATTCCCTGCATTTCCAGTTCACAGAGCTCTGGTGTTGACCAGTGACTTCCACTTCCAGAGGAAGTTGATCCTGTCCCCAGCTGTCGGGATGGGCTTCCATCACCTTGGGTGACTCCGTTCTCAGCAGAGACTGGGGCAGTGTATTACCCAACGGTGCTCAGTGAGACATAACTCCAAACTGCAGTTGGAGGCGTCTGGGAAAGGTTCCCCATGCAACCATTAGAAGAGATAGTCTCTCTGCCTCCTTTGAAAATTCTGGTGTCTGGATGTGGTGCACGGAGCGCCCTCAGGACCAGCCTGAAGAGGAGGTCGACCCCAAAGATGACTTAGAGAAGACACTGAAAGAGCCTCAGTACCTGGTGACAACTTTAGGCTTCACCCAAGTGCAGTCCGTCCCACTCTGGGCTCCCAGTTCCGGGAGATGAGGGGCTCCCCGACTGTGGAGGTAGGCTTGAGAGGGGTTTCTCTTTCTTTCGGCTTGTACTGGTGATCTGTTGCTACGGAACACATTACCTCAAGACGCAGAGGCTTAAGACAATAAGCATGAATTATCTCACAGTTTCTGTGGGCACAGCTTGGCTGGCTGCCTCTGAGTCTAGGTCTCTCAAAGCGCTGCAGCTGAGGTGCCCCTGGGCTGTGGTCTCAACTATGGGCTCTGCTGAGGGAGCATCTGCTTCTAGGCTCCCTCCAGCGGGAGTTGGCAGGACTCAGTTCTCATGCTCAGTGGGCTGAGAATCTCGGTTCCTCACTGGCTGTTGGCTGGAGGCTCCCTCCGTTTTTTTTTTTTGCCACGTGGATCTCCCCACAGAGCAGCTCTCAACATGGCAGCTGGCTTTCCTCAGAATGAGCGAGGGAGAGAGGGAATCCAAGATGGAAGCCACAGTCTTTTTTTAAACCTAATCTCAGAAGTGACAGGTGACATCCCACTGCTTCTGCCACATTCTGTTCAGCAATGTTAGTCACTAAACCCAGTCCATGTTCATGGGTAGGGGATTACACAAGGGGGTGAGCACAGGAGGTGGTGACCATTGGAAGGCATCCTAATGGGTAGGCCAGAGCCGGAAACAAGTAAGAAAGAAGCGGAGGCTAGGATGCTGGATATTCCTGAGATCCTCACATCTTTCTCAAGTGCGACCACAACAAGGGTTTGACGCAGTGCTGACCCCGTGGAGAGTATCCCATAGACAGAGCTGAGCTGGTACTGGATGCCCTTTAGCCTGGAACCCATCTCAGTTCAATGAAGCTGAAGGGAAGAGCGGTATCATTGTAACCTGATACTTAGTGATTCACAAGGAGACATTTTCTGGCATATTCTGCTACTGAGTGAATGCTGTGTGTTTGCTGACGAACAGATACAAACATGAATAAGACTGGCATGGCCTCCAAGTGGCTTGAACCAATGTGTGCAATACAACGTGGGGGTAAAGAGTAAACACCTGGATGGGGGAGGAATCTGGACTGGAGGCGTGAGGCGTGGTGGGAGGGGTCCCTGAGACCCCAGCTGGGTGTGTGGCTAGAGCGTGCAGAGACTTCACATCCCTCCGATACCCAGGCGGAGCTGGAGGACGGGCTGCATACGGGGGCCTCTTCAGTCAGAACACGCATTAGTGGGTGGTCACTGTATCTCTTCTGCCTACAGACCATTCGTTGGCTCAAAAAGAGTGCAGGGGTGGCAGATAAATGCGGCGCTGACCTAGAACACACGGTCTTCTCCATTTATCTTTGTTGCAGGTGAACGTGGCTTTCATGGCCATGTGCCAGGTATTGGTAACATGTTCAGCATGAAGACAGGAAATGAAGCATCTGGGCTTGGGCTCAGGGCTGACGTCCAGCGAGTTCTCGGGTCAGTGGAAGGGGGGGCTGTCAGCAGCTAAGTGGGGTCTATCAGCAAAGCGTGAGGATGGGGGCTGCACCGAGATCCAACAGAAGTCAGGGTCAGGGTGAGGGAAAATGGCCAGAACCAAAAGTTCTGGAGAGACATCAGAATGAAGGGTGGTGCTGTGTTCGCCCCATTTCACGTCTTCTTGCACCTCCTTCATCTGTGTACAGACCAGCATCCATCAGCTCTTTCATCCTTCTTATCCCTGAGGTTGGCTGAGCTTACGGTTTTCAACAAAATGTATGTTTCCTCTTTTTAACAACCTGAGTGGACTATACTATCTGTATAACAAGGAATGTGCGAAGCCAAAGATGTGCCCGTGGGAGTTTCTGAAATGGTGGGGAAAACTGGACGGGTGGTGGATAGAGCAGCAACTGAGGGTCAAGATACCCTAATGAGAATTCCTGCTGAACCTATCCTGTGATAAGACCCTGGGCCAGTGATGTAAGTCCTTTTGACTCAGTTTCCTCCAGTGACAGAACCTACCCCCCGCGCTGGGGTGGGGACTGAGTAAGATGTCACATGTGACATGCCTCGTGGACCACCCAGCCCTTGCAGGTACTCGGGGTCGGTCTCCACTAGAAGCACATCATTTCTTTTACAAGGAATGCAGGAGAAGTGCAAGAGCTTATGGCTGGCATAAAACCATCTCCACTCAGCTTCCTTCCACAATGCTGCAAATAGCCAGAAGTCTGACCAGAAGGTGAGACTGTATATGCCAAGGGGCCCAAATTCACATCCAGCAGTTACGTGCCAACAGCCAATAGCCCCCTTGTGACAGGTGGAAGGAATACCCAGGTTTCAACATCTTGTGAAAAAATAAGACAGATGACAACACAGGGTTTGTTTTCCTTCACTGCTCTGAAGTCCCGAATCAAAGAAGGCAGGGTGCTTTCTGCCTGGTTGGGTAGGAGATCCCGGTTTTCGATGCTGCAAAAAATGGTCAAGAAAATTCTGCATGTTGGGAAAATAGAAGCTCCGAGTTGGATGCATTCAGTTCTGGTGCAGGGGCAGCCAGGAGACAGGAGCAGGGAGCAGGAGGAGGAGGAGACTTTGTGGAGCCCCAGCTCCCTACCTCACAGGGCCCCTCTCCCCCCATTCCTCCCGCTCTTCTTCACTAGGTTACTGGCATTTCCGAGAGGGGAAGAGGGTGGGGGGAATTATGATCGGAGGGCCAAGGAGAGTCTGATGACATGTCTGGGGAAATGAAGGCATGGGGAGAATACCATGGGCCCAGGAGCGGGGTGGGAGGGCGGGACGAAACCATGAAGCAAGAAGATGGGGAACCTCATCCTTTGTCTGTTGCCTGGTTCCATTCTCTCTAAGGGAGGGGCAGGAAATGATTTCACAGCACCATAGAAACCCAGGAGGAAGCTCTCCTACCCAAGCCTGATGCCAGCCTTTGGAAGCAGCCCTCCCAAATCTCGCCTGCCAGTCTCCCCAGCAGACGCCACACACCGATGGTGTCCCCCAAGTGCAAGGAGGCCTGGGAGGAAGTGGGGATCTGCAGGTTTGCATCAGTTCAGGTGTGGGCAAGTGTGCAAGGCCTGGATGTCCCATCCACAATCTACTGGTCTTGCAACAATCCCCTAATTGCCATTTAGCTTTGCTGTTTTCCCTCGGCTATTCCTCCCCTCACTGGATCGCCCAGGGTCCACAGGAGGATTCTGGGCATGAGGACAGCATCCACAGAGTTGGCCCCCGAAGCTCATGGGCTTGAGACCCACTCTCTTCAGAGATGGAACAGCTCCAGAGCTGTCTACACCTCGGCTGTTATCTTTCTGACTGAGATGTCTGATCCTTTACTTTTCAATACCCTGTAGACATTATTTGCTTCCCAGAAGCATGTCCAACGTCAAGATGATCAAACATATTTGAAGGATGGAAAATAAGTATTTGTCAGAAAAGATGGAATGAATCAGGATTAGTTTTCCTACAGCAGTAGATAAGTAATCCGACAATTATCTTCTTTACCCAGAAGCTGGCAGCGAGCTAATCATCATTTCCAAAGAAGACAGAAAGAGATCAAGGGGTCCACTGTCAGAAAAGTATGAACTTCCCAGCCAGAAGCCGCACCCACGCATGGGCCCCGGCTGCTCACTGGGCGGAGTATAGAGTGGCGGACACTGTTTTGAGAATATGGTCCAGGATTGTGCCCCTTTATGATGAAGCATCGCTGCCAAGCTGAGTCATCCTCAAAGGGGTGAGCACGGGCTTGCCATGCTGATGACGCCATCAGAATACATATGGTTAAATATGTAAAATGATTACCCATCAGGAGGGAGGAGTGCTACACACAGTATTTATGGAAGTCCCAAAGAAACCTCAGGAGACAACGAAGACCGCCCGATCTCAGCCAGGGTACGACAAGAAGTAGAAAACAATGAGACTTTAATTCTGGCTATTGCTAGACGGAACTCAAGCTCTTTCCCCTTCTGCTGCCTCCGTTTCCCTTTCTGCAGGGTAGCACTCCTACCGCTTGGTCACTGACCATACGATTCAAAGGTCCTCATTCATAAGTCCCCCCAGGTCTTGAACACGGCTCTCCTCTGCACTCTCAGCTTGCTGGAGTGAGCTCACCAACAAAATCCCATAATTGCTGAACTGGACTGAGGGGGCTCTTGCTACCTGCAGACTTCTGAGGTTAGTTCTAATTTGAGGAACAGTAGCTCCTAGCTGACTGTCTTCACCCACACAGTGCGATTTTGGCCAAGGTCTGACTGCAGTGTGAATGATTAATGAGTTAAGTCATTCTTTATGGGCACCTGCATGGCATTCCGAGCGCATTCACTGTTAAATCGGACACACTGCATTGAGCATTTAGAAAGAAAAGCTGGAGAGGAACGTCACAAACACCCCAAAACAAGAATGGAAAGTCTGGAAACCCAGCCCTGATACCGGTGAGCAGAGAGATGGGCAGTTGACATATGGGAAAGAAAACAAGAGGCACGTACGTGTGGGTCTCAGGTCCGAGGCCTCGGAACCAGTACTCTCCCCAGGAAAGCCGAGAGGCTCCGCCACGTCTGTGTCGGGAGGAGGGTAGGGTGGGGGCGGGGGGAGCACTAACAGGGGGGGCCCCCGAGCAGAGCCTCTGGGAGGCTTTTGTGGCACCTGCCGTCCAACACCTACATGGAATCAACAGGGGTGACTTCAGAAGGTAAGCCCGAAGACTCTCTGCCCTCCCACGGAAGGCACACAGCCATCACTCACCCGGGCATCAAAAATAACCTCATGGCACCGAATCCAACCACACCCAGCACCAAATCCAGCCTCATGGCACCAAATCCAGCCATACCCGGCGCCAGATCTGACCACACTCGGTACCAAATCCAACAGCAGTCAGTACTGAAGTCAACCTCACTACGCATCAAATTCAACCACACCTGCCACGAAATCCAGCCACACCCGGTATCGAATCCAACCACACTTGGTACCAAATTGAGGCTCATCAGGCACCAAATCCAGCCTCATGGCACCAAATCCAACCACACCTGGTATCAAAGTCAACCTCACCATGCACCAAATTCAACCACGCCTGCCAACAAATGCAGCCACGCCCGGTATCCAAATTCAAACTCACTAGCCATCAAATCCAGCCTCATGGCACCAAATCCTGCCTCACTCATGCTTTAACATTTTACACACACAGTGTCCTCTCCTTGAGCCAAACTGAAAATACCTACTTGTTTGCAATTTGTTTCTGGCAGGCACAACTACTCCCAAATGCTGGGCTTGAAATGATTCTTAAAAGCCCCCTTGGCAGCTCTGTTGTGTTAAAAGGAACTCCTTTTATACATGTTAGTTTTTATTGGGGATTATTTTTTTTTAGCTTCCTCTTGTTATTTTTACCTGTTAACTATTGTGGATTAAGTAGCCACTAAACCAGCTTACCTCTTTAAGCCCATTTATAACAGCACTCTGTTCCATTGTTTGGGGTAATAATTTTCAAACTTTGTTTTGAAAAGGGTCCCGACTTGGAGAAAGAGTTAGAGGGGGCATCTCTGTCTCATCTGACCTCTGGAACCCTTGGGGCAGCCCCTTCTTTGCTCTGCTGACACCTGGGGGATCCACTTGCCATTTTATAGAAATGGCTTTCTTCTGCTAATAAGATTTTTGAAGGTCAATGACTTAATATAACAAAGCCGTATATATCCCTTGTGCCATAAATCATACTTCCCAGTATTTCTTTGAAAAACGCTTTTTTCAAGCTTTTATGTTTGGAGTCATGTAGTAACTAAGAGACTCTGTGCTTCATGCCTGCCATCAGATTATTAATAAATAAATATTAAGAAATATAATTTCTTCATCAAGAGACATATCCACTTATTCCTTCTCTTGGTTACAGTTCTCTAGATGTGGGAGAATAGTGATGTCCCCACGGCTAGACATCATTTGTCACCTCAAAGTGCAAAGAAGCCACAAGCCATCAGGATGAGCACTGTCTGGTTGGTCCACGGAAGTCATTCCCAAGGGCAAGGTATGTGGGGAGAACAGGCTTTGTCCTGGAAGCTTCTCTCTACCAGAAGGCTCAGTTTTTGTTTGCCAAGGAACTTGGGTCAGACCCAAATCCAACCAATACCATTTTAGTGCAAGTTTCAATTCCCCCCCCCCTTATATCTAGGTATCTGAATAAAAAGATGCTCGTTTGTGTGGGGTGTGTGGGCAGGGGTAACTTTTTACATTTGTATCTGTTAATGTAAAGCCTAGACTTTGGTTAACAAAGTTCAGCTTGCGGGATCGCTAGCATACCGTTACTTCATGGGGGTCCCTGATGGGGATGGAAGCCTCCCTTAAAATCGTTACCAAGACCTCTACCATCCTCCTGACCTCTCAAAGTATTCAAGGTCACTGCCAGCCCGAAGGGAGCTTCTGGCTTCCTTCTCGATCTTCACAAACCAAAGCTGACAGATGAGAGAGAGGCTCGTAGTGAATTACTACCGTCCATACCTCCTCCCTGTAATGTGCTCCTTAGAGCGGGACTTGTCCGTACAGTTTTCAGTTTCCAAACACCCACCTCCCTCTCCTGAACAACCATGGGCACTGGCTGCCTGCCCGCACCCGGGCCAGGTTCTCCAAGCGTGGGGACACGAGCCGGCAGTCAGTCCTTCACAGCTGGTCGGGAGGCCCTCCCTTGGTCTGAAATGGGCTGTCTGGCCTGGAGGTTGGCACGACTCAGCTGCATCCACACTACCACCTACAGTGGATGCTTCTTACGAGTGCAAGCAGGAACCATAAATCTGAGGGCTGTCATCCCTTTGCCACAAGAGTGGGCGAGAGCTCGGCAGGGAGAACAGGGGTCTCGTCACGGAAAAGGAGACAACGAGGTTTATTTTGAGAAGCTGCTGATCATGGGTTCTGTAAATCTGGTAGTATTTTCCTCTGGTCAAGAGGATGAACTGGCATGAAACATAGACTATGGTTCCTTAGGATCATCACTTCCCTGGTGGCGAAATGCTGAGACATGAACAGGGAGGTGTTGCCTGGGGGAAAAATGGCTGACACACAGCCAAGCAGCTCGTATTAGAGTTTCGGACACTGACAATGTACGCGCTTATCCTTGGGAGTCTTCCTTTTGGGGGCTACAGTCATGGGGTCTAGGGGAGAATGTGAGGGTGCCCTATGGAGTAAAGTAGCATCAGGCCCACATGGCCATCGCACGGCCTCTGTAATGAGCTGATGCACTTGTAATCACAGGGCCTTGTCTCAGGCAACCCCCGCTCCTCAAGAGCAACATCTGTTCCTACATAAATGAAATTACAAACATGGACTGGCTTAAAATTAAATGAACCATCCCCGACTCTTGGATCTAGAGACCCCTGCCACGTCTCTCTCTGCCACCTGTAACATGAGGAGGTGGCATTTAATGATCTAACATGTCTCTCTGCTCACAGATATTACGGTTCCATCCTTTTTCCTTTCAGTTCCTTGTTCCCAAAAATATCAGGGTGTGTGTTTGCTACGTATGTAAAAGCGGAGGTCGATTTCAAACAGGGTGGTCAAGAAATGAGGGAACTACTGTCAACTGATCTATAAACCTCCTGGGGACTAGAGGTCTTTCCAAATAGCCTCCACAGACGTCATCCTAAGAACACTCATCCTTCCATCAGGGAGACACACACATGCGCGCACTCACCGGTCTGGCGCCATTCATCTCCTCTCGAGCACCCTCAGCCATCCTCCACCCTTTCTGCCTGCCCCCCGCCTCCGAGCCTCCATGATGCCCGGAAAATATGCCTGTAAGATACTAAGTGAACCCTCAGGTGTTTATTTCCAGACTTTCTTTCCTTAGCATAAATGTTTTCCGAGTTAATGCCATAGTGGAGGACGCGACTGCAAGAGTTAATAGCAGTGCCAGAATTCCACGCAAGACCAGGCTCAGGGGCGTGCAGACGGCAGCTCGGCGCACTCACCCGTGGTGCTCTTCCTGTTCTCCTCCCTGTCCTGCGTGCGAGGGGGCACCAGGGGGCTTGGCGTCGGGGGCTGTGGCGTCGGGGGGGCTGGCGCCCGCCTCTTCTTTTTCTGCAGGTCAATCTGGGACCCCAGAGATACCTGGGAAGCACAAAGAAAGGTCACAGTGTCAGAGGGTGGGGTGCACAACTCAGAGAAGCTGGCCTATGGGATGCGGTGCTCTAAGGAGCGTTGGTAGATTGCCAGGTTCCTTTCTGGGGTCCCAGGGCAGGTGGCGGATGCCCTGGTGTGAGGGCTTGCCGTGCAGCTCAGGAGCGGCCCCGAGGTGGCCCAAGGATGCTCACAGACATCCCAAGACCCCTCTGAGCTGGGGGAGCTGGGGCTCTGCCCCAAATTGCCAAGGGATTTCAGGCCAGTCAGGGGACTTAGTAACTTCCCCTCAGAATAAATATGAGAAAGGGGACCCTTCACCCTTCGTTAAATGCAGAAGAGAACCAGTCCTTCTGGAAACTTGAGCAAGGGCTGCCATGATGTGCACCCACGCAGCGGGAGAGCAGAAGGGCCTGGCTCAGGGCTCACTGTGCCCAGAATTCCACTTGTTCCCCTGCCCCTGCATGTTCCCGAGCAGCCAGGACTCGTCACTGTCCACAGATGGGCCACCCATGCACCGGAATTACAGTGAAGTTTGTCAGACTGTGGCTCACGGTGTCAGCCTAGGGGATGTCAAGCTCTGTCCACGCAGAAACCCTGCTCCCACCGAAGAATTGTCCCAACGACAAATTCACAGCTTCGAAAGGCTGCATAAAGACTGCATGTTCGGACGCCTGGGTGGCTCAGATGGTTAAGCGTCTGCCTTCGGCTCAGGTCATGATCCCGGGGTCCTGGGATCGAGTCCCGCATCGGGCTCCCTGCTCTTTGGGAGGCTGCTTCTCCCTCTGCCTCTCTCAAAAAAAAAAAAAAAAAAAAAAAAAAAGACTGCATGTTCTCCTCTCTTCCCCAATACAAAGTTTTCATCCGTTCATTCTCATCGATGGAATTCAATGCACTGCATTTGAACGTGCAGAGTGTGTGCAAATAAGGAAAACCATTTACTCTGCTGGGTCCCTGCGCTCAGGGAGCCCACAGCTGAGTCCCTGCCTGGGGTCGAAACAGTCCCTGATGGCTCAAGGGCTCGTTGTGGGAGGGCTGACTACCAACCCCACCCCGGTGTGGATTTGTTCTACCTCTGGTGCTCCCTGGTTTAGGAATGCAGGCTCCCAGCGTGTGTGCTGAACTGGGCGCATGCCCCACTTCCATAGAAGGCAATGTCCTCTTCTGGGCTGGGCCTGGTGTTTCCTGTGTTTGTACATGTGTGTGTAAAGAGTCTCCTTTTAAATTTTTCTCAGTAATACACATTTATTGCAAAATAAATTTATATTTAAAAACTACATAAGCAAAAGAAAGAAAAAAAAGTCACTTTGTTAACACTCGGATTCTAACTACTAACAGTTGGCATACATTTTTTGGTCTTTACTTTTTTTTTTTTAGATTTTATTTATTTATTTGAGAGAGAGAACAAGCACAAGCAGGAGGAACGGCAGGCAGAGGGAGAAGTAAGTAGGCTTCGCACTGAGCAGGGAGCCCAATGTGGGGCTCGATCCCAGGACCCTGGGACCATGACCCGAGCCGAAAGCAGAGGCTTAACCAACTGAGCCACCTAGGTGTCCCTGGTTTTTACTTTTTCTTTTCAAAGTCATATACTTTCCACCCTTCTACTACAATATACAACATCCACCTCCTTTACCCATACAGCTCTGTAATATATTTCATGGAAAACACGGACAGAAGGAAAATCAAGTCACGCCACAAAGCTCAGAGCCTAGCCAGCACCTCATGGTCCACACTGCCCCCACTCCAGAGGAACCACTTCAAACCCTCTCTTTTGACGTTTACTCTGTTTTTAAAAATAATACGCTTATTCTGCTATTTCTTGATTTCCCCATGTTAGATACTGGCTTTCTACTCCAGAAGAGGAAGATTTAGCTCCCTGACACACACACACACACACACACACACACACACACACACACATGCACCCACAGTTCCTCCTCAATCTTTCCAGAAATTATGGCTCAGGGTTAAATTAACACTATCTAGTTCTACATATATAGTTATAATAGATTTAATTCCATCAAAGAGAAATCTTCAAGAGGAAGTTTCTCCAGCTGAGACGTTTCACATCTATGTTGACGTTTTCTTTCTGGGTCATTTTGATTTCTCTGAACTTGGTAATTGATTTGTTTTCTAACTTTTTCTTCTGGGTTTCCTGGAAATGGCTTTTCCTCGACTCAGCTGTTTTTCTCCCTTGTTTCCTGGATCCCAGGCCTTTTTAAAAATTGACTTCCTTGTTAGAGTGGGGCTCAGGCTCTGTCAGCTTTCCAAGGCAAGATGTACGTGAGGTGACTCTAGGAGACCTTCAAAATCTATGACTGTTTCTATGCTGTTCTCCTCACCAGCCGGTCATAGATGCTGGCTCTGTTTTCTTCGTGTGGTCCGCTTCCCCTCTATGAGCTTTAAGGACCCTCTCTCGTCCTTGGAACCCCGAAATGTCTGGCAGCATGCCCTGGGCTGGAGTGCTCTCCACCCATGGTCTGGGGTATTTGTGGAACCCTGCAATCTAGAAATCCTTTAATGCTGCAGACTGTTCTAGCATCATTCCTTTCAGATTTCTTCTTCCCTCTGTTTTCACTGTCTCTCCCTGGGTTCTGATTATTGAATACTGAGGGTTCGAAATCAATTTTCTAACTTTTCTTGAATATTTTTGCCTAATTAAAACATTTTCCTCTTTCTTGGAAATTTCCTTTACCTCACTGTCCAACTCTTGAATTTTTAAAACTCTGTGACTATGTTTTTATTTCCAAGAGCTCCTTCCTGTTACGTATTTTTTAAATAGTATCATGTCTTCTTTCCTGGATACAATATCTTCTCTTTTCTCTCTGAGGCCATTGTTTATATTTGTTAAGACGCTTTTTTTCTTTTTCTTTTTATGCATTGTTGTTTCCTGCACGTTCCTTTCTCCCTCTCTCTGTCTTAGCGTCTGTCTGTCACATTCTGGCCTTTCCTCAATTTCTGGCAATCCTTGGCCAATTGCTTGTAATTGTGTGTTTCTGGGGACAGAGTCTCTTTGACACACCAACGGGTTTCCCTGCAGGTGCCTGGGCGGAAATCCAGTTAGCTCACAGGGGGATCCCTAAATGCACTTATCTGCAGGATTCTCTTCCATGCAGTAAGACCTTCCAGCCTCCTGCCAGAGGTGGGAGCTGGCCTTGCAGAGCGGGAGTTCGGGGGACAGCCCTGGACCCACTGGGCGTGTGCTTCTCCTTTCTCCCGGTGCACAGTACTCTCTGTGTAACTCAGGTCCTGGAGGCAGCCTCTCAGTTCTTTCTCCTGTGGGGTCTGGCACACCTCCCGCTGTGTGTGGCCAGAGGGGTCGGGGGTCTTACTGCTTCACATACACACGTTCACTGTCCTTGGTTCCTTCTGCCTGCTGGTGTGCACAGGAACTGGGACCCTACTGTCCCCACCTCGCCAGGCCCTGCTCCCTGCCGCTGGGTCTCTCCAGCCAGAGGTCAGCCCTCAGCTGCTTCTGCTTTGCTGGGAACTTGACACAGTCCACCCAACCTAGTTCCCAATGTCTACTGACCCCTTACTGCTCCTTCTCGCCTTCTCTTTGTTGTAGTGGGCTAATGCTCATTAAAAGGCTGTCTGATAAGGCATGGGATCCGTGAGCCAGAATTAATTCAGTCAACTCCATTAAGATTGTTTGGTTTTGGCCAGTAAAAATTAGACTTCTTAGCACACCCTGAGAGTTTTATCTTTTCTTGCCTTTCTTCTTCTTTCTTGTCTTTTTCTTTTTTAGTGTTCCATAAGTCCCTTTACTAGAATGTCTGAGGTAAGGAACATGTAAGATTGGAGGGACACACCAGTTCTAAATTGCTTTCCCAATTTTAAGAATCCTTGTCATGTGCTTAGCTCACCCTGAGTTTGTGATGAACTCACCAGGGCTCTTGCAAATAAATGGATAGCAAACCTTTCCACGTTTCTGTTAATATCTGTATGTTACTTTGGTCCATTGTTCTGTCTTGGGCCCTGGTGCTGGACTCTCAGGAGACCCTGTTTTGCTGTGCCCTTTGCCAGGCGCTCTTGGGTAAAGGGCGGGACACTTACCCTATCACCTACACCCTCAGAACCCTGCCTCTGCTTCCCAACCAGTCACTGATGAAAATGTTGAAAGGCATAGAGCTTTGGCTCTGATACCTGGATTTCTTCCTTTAGGGTTGAAATCAATTCATCAATTAATGGTGATTGTTCACATGCGATAGGTTTACCCATGTGCATCATTTTCAGGCTCACGTTTCTCAATGTCCTTATTTTTAAAAGATGAGAGACTTTGTTAAATGCCATTCCTCCCCTTATTCCTTTCATTAAGGAGCAAGCAGGTGTTGGCTCCTTATCCTATGACAAGAATTGCAGTGGATTCAAAGACATGAAAACTTTCTGACCTCAAGTTGTTCACAGTCTAATGAAGGAGACATAATTCTATAACATTTATACAATCTCCTAGGCTGGAAACACCGCCCAAAGCTGTAATTTGGGGCTTACCTGGGGACATGGTTCCTTCTGGGAATTCACGCTGGTTAATCAGAGCCCACTAAGCTCCCACTATATCTATATAATAATGACACGTTCCAGAATTCTGCTGAGTGTTGACATCAAGGTGGAGATAATTGGAAGAGAGGGGCAGGGAAGCAGTTCTGGCTTACCCAGTCTGGAAAAGCAATTCACCTGTTGAAAAAAGTTCTGGCTCACTGCTTGTTACAAACTCTGGAGAAGCATCATGGCATTCCTGGAGGTTTGCTGAGATGGTCCAGCTTCGCCAACAGCATTCCTCTTCCCAGAGGTAAGGACAGACCACTCAACAAACATTTGTTGAAGACCACCTAGTTCCCAGATATAGAGCGACTCCTGATCAATTAAGATAACATGCTTGGAAAGCGTTTGGCAAGCTCTGAGACCACTAATCAAGATGAGTGCTAATGGGCAAAATATTTTTTTTTTCCTGGAGCTTTTGTTAGTTTAACCTGTTTAAACAGAAATGTTCTAGTAGATGTACTTACAGACTTCAAGGAAATACTATTTACAATAGCTGCAAAGATTTAGTAAATATTTACTAGGGGTGCCAAATGTATCCAAATACGACTACCTCAAAAGAGCTAATTTTCCTAAGTCTGTTTGGTAAAGGAAGAAACTGAAGCTCTGCAGCTTACGGCAGATAACTTGCCCAAGGCCATACAGCTAATGAGTGGACAGAGTTGGTACTTGAGCTGTGAGTCCAAGCATTCCTTGGAAGAAATAACTCCTGAGGTTTGGAATGGAAATGTCTATCCCTAGGAGTCCATACACAACTAACACCCATGGAGTTCTCATTGTCCCACGCGGCAACCTATCCACCTACAGGGTGGAAGCAATTTGTGCTGGAGAGAGTTGTTTCAGAAAACACTTCTTAGACCTGAAGCACATCTGTATGTTCTTCAAGGAACATGTGAAATCCGGGTCTGCCTGCTTTCTGAAGCTTGTGCCTATCATTTCCCCTTCTTAGAACCAGGACATGGAGTGGCCCCTTTAGGCGGGGCCGGCTGATTCTGACCTGCCGCCCATCTGAGGTTCCCTGATAGTGGAACCTGAATCCTGCAGGGCCTGGTCTTTTTAGGAAGCATCCATCCACTGTGGGTCCTTTGGTCTCATAATCTCATTGTGACAGTTATGTGTGAGGCCAGACTGGAGGTCAGAAAGTGTTTAAGGGGAGGGGAAGTTCTGCTTTAAAGAGAATGGGTCGGACTCTCACCACGAGACACAGAGCCTCCTGCTGCCACCTTGCTCCTGGAGCTTGCTCAGGGCGTGGCATTTTGTAGGAATGCGAGAAAAAGCGGTTCGTGCCTGTGTGTGTGCGTATGTGCGTGCATGTACGTGTGTGTGTTTTCCATGTTCCTTTACAGTTTTTATCTATATGAATATGACATTCACGTTATTTTTTTAGGGAAATGGACATATCCCTCTAGGTTTTAAGTGTTTGGGCTAAAGGACAGAGACATGAGTAGATTTGAGGGTCTATGTTATGAAATAAAATTAGTACAGCTCAGTACCTTGCAGACATTTATGTGTTCATTCATTCCTTCTTCCTTCCATCCACCCATCCACCCACCCATCCACCCATTCATTCATCCATGCACCCACCTATCCATATCATCCATCCATCCATCATCCATCCATCCATCCAACCATCCATCTATCCATCCATCCATCCACCTATCCTTCCATCCACCCATCCATTCATCCATTCATCCATGCACCCACCTATCTGTATCATCCATCTATCCATCCATAATTCATGCACCCACCCACACACCCACTCATACACCCACCCATCTACCCATCCACTCATCCATTCACCCAAGCACCCCCCATCCATATCACCAATCCATCATCCATCCATCCATCCATCCATCTATCCATATCATCCATTTATCCAGGCATCCATCCATCCCTATCCATCCATCCATTCACTCATCCATCCAAACACTTGGGTACTTGATGCCAAGCTCCAGGCTCGGCACAAACCAGTGAGGGAAGGAACACCAGGTGCCTTTCTTCCAGCCACACTGAACTGGTGGCTCACTGTGCTTGGCAGTGTTGTCTTGAGTCCCTGCTTTCTGCCCTTCCCAGAATGCCCTTCCTTGTCCAACGCTTCTGTCAGTCTTCTGCCCCTCCTGAAATCTTGCTCAGTCTTCAGGAAGCCCCCTGAAATTTCCCGGGTGGGTGTTAATGGCCTGTCTCCTATGCTTCAATAGCAGGTGGCTCCAGTGTACGAGCAGTGCCCTGCTGGAGCTCCATCCTCACTGCCTCCCCTGCCTAGTTCAGCTCCTATAAGCTTGGAACAGGAAAGGGTCTGTCTTATAAGCTCTCAATTTCCACAATCCCTAGCCTCATGCTTCTGCACTTTAGGAATCAATAAATGTGTGTGGAATACAAGAAAGACTAAAGGAGACGTTCTATATAAATGTGGCATGCTGTGGAGGGAGTTTATAAATATTGTTTTTCAGCCAGAGCCCGCAAGTCTAACACAGCCCTAGGCCCATATCTCATCTCTCTCTTATTCAAAATGAAAATACCCTACTGTTTTTACATAGGTCCAAATGAAAGTCATATATTCTCACTGAAAACAGTTTGAATAATAGAGGGGCATATCAAGTGCTAAGTGACATCTTCCTTTCCTCTGCTCCCAAGAGATAACTTCTATTAAAGCATGACATGCATCTCCTTAGGCTTTCTTTCTGTGTATCTAGCTACATGAATATTGATAAAAATGAGAGCATACTCTCTTGATGGCAGCGGCTTTTGTCATCTACACCACTGCTAGGCGTAGGTCTCCCTGACGTCTTGAGGTCGGGAAGGGTCCACCCTGTGGGGACCGCCTGTTTTTATCTGTCCTCCAGGTTTGGCATTTGATTTGTTGCTTTGTTGTGTTTGATTTGTTGCTCTTTCAAATTATATTGCAGTGAGCGTCCTCACCTAGTTATCTTTTCTACTTTGTTTATTCCCTTATGATCCCACTCCATAAACTCGCTGGCTCACCAGCAATATGATTTTTTTAATTTCATTTCATTCCATTTTATTTTATTTCTATTTTTTTAAAGATTTTATTCATTTATTTGACAGGGAGAGACACAGTTAGAGAGGGAACACAAGCAGGGGGAGTGGGAGAGGGAGAAGCAGGCTTCCTGCGGAGCAGGGAGCCCGATGCGGGGCTCAATCCCAGGACCCTGGGATCATGACCTGAGCTGAAGGCAAATGCTTAATGACTGAGCCACCCAGGCACCCCACAATATGATTTTTAAATGAACTGAAATCAGAATCTAGAAGAGATACCCACCCTTGCATGTTTATGGCAGAGCTATTCACATTGGCCAAGATGTGGAAAAACCTTAAGTTTCTGTTGACAGATGAACGGGTAAAGCATATATGGGCTATTCATACAAGGGGGCAGCACTCAGCCTCAAAAAGGAAGGGACTTCTGCAGGCTGTGGCGACATGGATGGGTCTGCAGGACATTATGCAAATGGAAACAAGTCAGGTAGAGGGACAAATACTGCATGATTGCACTTACAGGAGGCATCTGAAGCAGGCAAACTCAAGGAACCAAAGTGCGGGGGGCGGGGGGCTGCCAGAGGCAGGGTGGGGGAAATGGGACCTACTACTCAATGGGCCTGAAGTCTCCATCAAGCCAGGTGAAGAAGCTCTAGGGATGTGCTATGCACCTGGTGTCTCCAGCAACATAACCTACTGTGTGCTGGACCACTGAAAAGCATAGATTGCCCGTGAAGAGCTCTTAGCAAAATAAAACACAAACTGAAATAAACACATGATATGTGCCGCCCGATAGGCCCCCAACAAGGCTGTATCAGCTTAAACTCTCACCAACGGCCCCTTCCTCCCACTCAACAAGAGTCGGTGAAAAGTGCCCTGATCCTTTTAAAAATCTATGTTCTTTGAATACAAGGATCGGCGATTTTTAATGATTGCTGTTTATCTGTGTGCGAGACAGAAAGACGTTGACTATGCTTTATTTCTTCTCTCTCGCGTCCATGGTGTTGGCCTTTTCTTAGTGATCTCCCCTAACTTACACATACACTGTGAATAGTGTCCCCAGTTCATCACAGACTTCTAATTTTCTGTACTTTACTCTTTTAGAATGTAAAAATCTATCTGATTCAATCTGTCAGGCTTTGCCACCTTTTTTGGAGGGTTGGGGGTGGATTCTAACCCTTTGTCATCCCAAGAAAGGGATTCTTGCTTCCAAATTTAAAGATTCCTATTGTTTAAACAGTAGTTTAAGTTTAAAGTATTCCTGCTTGAATTTTTTACATTTTTACTTTAAATCAACCTGGACTCAATTTTGCTCTGTGTTCTACATTTTCTCCACATGTTAAATTAGCTTACAACGCAAGTGATGTTTGTTTCATAAATCTGCATGTACCTCCATCACTGTACAACAAAACCCAGTAATATTCCATGCAGAATGAGGGGTGACTCATATTTCCTGTACTTACTGAAGCACCTCTTCCACGGAGGATCTGGCCTGCTGGAAATCTCACTCCTCAGAATCCAGATCCCAGGGGACCCGCTCGTGTCTGGGGCGTGCTGCCGGAGGGTGCCCTGCCTGCCTGCCTGTCCCCAAGGGCACCTGATCTCATCTCCACTGAACAGTGATTGTAGACCCAACATGTCCTGCAGAGAGTCAGGGTCAAGTCTAAGAAGAGAGAGTAGTTGGTGATGCATTCTAGACAGCCTTCCCTCTAAACTGCTTAAATAATTTCTAGAAAAGGGAATTCATACTTAAAGAGATATATCTTTTACCGTTTGAGGTAGGTATTTCTTTACTGTGTTCTCTTGTCTGGGGACACCAGGACATCAGTTCTTTAGTATAATGAGGTTGCTCCAGATTAAAACTTAAACCTACACTTTAACCTCTTTGTCTTTAACAGAATGATTATTTACATATAATTTTCCTTCAGGTCCCCTGGTACTTTTAAGATGAGCAGCACAAAGATTATGAACCAGAACAGCCTAGAAAAGCATCTCAGCTTTGATTCACTGCTATGTCCTCAGTACCAGGAACTGTCCTTAGAATATCTGGGATGCTCACTAAATGTTCGCTGAATGAGGGAGTGTTGTTACCAGAAGCATCCATGTGATTAAAGCAATACTTTTTTCTTTTTTTTCTTGACAGGTGCACTCATCTAATGACTTTGTGAATGCCGTTATGTCTCAGACACTACTCTCACCACTGAGAGTAAGAGATGAACAAGGGGCGCCTGGGTGGCTCAGTCGTTAAAGCGTCTACCTTCGGCTCAGGTCACGATCCCAGGGTCCTGGGATCGAGTCCCACATTGGGCTCCCTGCTCGGCGGGAAGCCTGCTTCTCCCTCTCCCACTCTCCCTGCTTGTGTTCCCTCTCTCGCTGTGTCTCTCTCTGTCAAATAAATAAATAAAATATTTTTTCAAAAAAGAGAGAGATGAGAAAGACAGGACCTTGGGGCTGGTTTTGTTGGAAGGGTTGTGGGTGAGGATCAGATTTCTGGCTGAGGTCCCTGTGCAGATGATGGACTTGCTCCTTGCCATGGGGAACACCTGTGGAGAAGCAGGTTTACGTGGAAGTCAAGGCTATCAGTTTTGGACACATCGATGGGGCCTTCTGGTAGATATCCAGGGAGAGAACAGGCTGGAGGTGGTCAACTGGCCCCCTGCTTGCACCCCACACCCTTCCCGCCCGGCCGCGGTGCCGGCCACAGCTCTGCTCAGGATCTGCAAGCACCTCCCAACTCCAGGTGAAACACCTCGATTACTACGCATTATGTTGCAGTACACATGGGGGGGGGGCATAGACATCCCTGCAAGGTCCACGATCCTGTTTTCACTGGTTCCAGATATAGCCTCAGAAGCGGATTGCTGGATCATACAGTGATTCTACTTCTAGTTTTCTGAGGACCTTCCATACTGGTTTCCGGAGTGGCTGCACCAGTCTGCATTCCCATCAACCCTGGGACGAGATGCCGGAGGACCAGCCCCTCTGATGCCAGAGGCGTCCTTCAGTGTAGGAGGGGTCCCCTTTCTCTGCATCCTCGCCAACATCTGTTGTTTCTTGTGTTACTAATTTTAGCCATTCTGACTGGGGTGAGGTGATATCTCACCCTTGAATAATGTGGAACTTAGAGCCTCTGACTTCTGCATTGTTGAAAGTCTGCATGTGCCTTCTGACTCCCCATAACTTAACTACCAATAACCCATAGTTGACAGGAAGCCTTACCGATTACATAAACATTCGGTGATCACATATTTTGTATGTTATGCGCATCATACACTGCGTTCTTACAAGAAAGTAAGCTAGAGAAAAGAAAATGTCATTCAGAAAGTCCCAAGGGAGAGAAAAGACACTTACAGTAGCAGTATTTATTGAAAAAAATCCACAGCTGTTCAAACCTGCATTCTTCAAGGGTCAACCATATACTAATTACCTTGAGGACATTATGGGATGATGTGAGATAAGTCAGAGAAAGACAAATACTGTGTACTCTCATTTACTGTGGAATCTAAAAAAGCCAAACTTGTAAAAACAAAGAGTAAAGTGACGGTCATCAGGGGCTGGGAGGCATGGGACAAGGAGATGATGTGGGACGACCTTGGCATCAGCAGTAAATAAATCCTGGAGATCTAATGCACAGTACAGTGAACACAGGCCCCAATGCTGTATCCTAACCATTATAGCTGCTAAGAGACCAGATGCTTATTACTCCCAGCACAATAAAAAGCAATGATAAGGGGCGCCTGGGTGGCTCAGTTGGTTGAGCGACTGCCTTCGCTCAGGTCGTGATCCTGGAGTCCCGGGATCGAGTCCTGCATCGGGCTCCCTGCTCGGCGGGGAGTCTGCTTCTCCCTCTGACCCTCCCCCCTCTCGTGTGCTCTCTCTCATTCTCTCTCAGATGAATAAATAGAATCTTTAAAAAAAAAAAAAAGCAATGATAATTGTGTGATGTGATGCGAGTGATTTCGCTACAATGACAATCATTATGGTATATAAATGCACCAAAGCTCCGTACACCTTAAATTCATACCATGTTGTATGTCAAATACATTTTAACCACAAAAGAGGGAAACTCCAGAGTCCTGACTGTGCCAGCGTCACCTGAACCCCCACCTCGGAGTCCCCTATTGTACTATTCTCTGCTTCCAGGCTGTCCCTGTCTGTCCCCAGCCTGCCCTCCCCCGAAGTGTGCTCTGTCCCCCGTCCACGGAGCCTGCTGACCAGCCCTGAAAGCTGCCCACTGTCTGTCACCCATTCTCACTCACCCGCTTTCTCTCCCAGACACATTACTCTCACATTTCTGTGCACTGGTTGATGGTCTCCTGCTCTCGAACAGAATCTCCAGAAGAGACTGTTACTCGCGCCTTCTCCACACGGACTACAGTGTATGGCACCAAGTGGGTGCTTCGTACGTACTGACTGACTGACTGAGTGAATGAATGATGGAGTGCATGTAAATGCTGCTGGAGGGATCCAGGGGAGGAGGCATGTGGAAGAGAGGGGGGGCATACAGGCTGGAAAGTTCTCTGGGAAGAGGGAGGCCACCCTGGGACGAGATGCCGGAGGACCAGCCCCTCTGATGCCAGAGGCGTCCTTCCCAGGCCCCTGGCAGAAGCAGGAGACAGAATGCAGGATGCCAGAGGGGAGTGAGCTCTGGGGAGAGGGGAAGCTCCGCCCCCAGCGACAGGGCTGTGGGCAGACTTGCGGGGCCAGGGCCGACAGGGGTTTGCACCTGCGGCAGCTCCAACCTGCAGCACCACGTGACCAGGAGCCCAGTGGGACAGTGGGGCTGGCCCAGCTCTGGTCTTCGGGGTATGTGCAGAGATTGTGCAAGAATCCAGGCAGGCCACGAGGATGCTGGCCACAGAGCAGTGCCTTCAGGGAAGGAAGGCAAGGGACAAGTAAAGAAAGAAGCAGAATTCCAAGTTGGGGGCTTTGGGGCAAAGAGCATGAGGAAGGCCCTAGAACCTGGCCTGGGCTTGCCCCATTGGGCACATTTCTGTTTGCGTTTGCTAGTTCCTGACCATCGACTTATTCATGTCGCCTTGATTTGCTCAAGAATGCTTCCCTTCCAGCACAGCTCAGGACAGCCCCCAGCTCCACCCCGCTACCCCATCTGCCCTCCAGGGAGTGAAGGATACCCGCTCCCTCCATCCCTCTCCAGGTGAGAGAGGCCTTGTGCCAACAGCGCTCAGGTGTTGATAATAATGCTCCGCTTTCCTTCTGGGAATTTGGGCAGGGGTTCGAAGAGACGGTGACGTTGTATCCTGATCTTACAGGAAGCATTTGGGGGCACTCTGCACCTTGCAAGGCTCCCCAGATCCTACGCTGCTCACCAGTGAAATGTAACAGAAAATGCAGGGACTCCGAATTTTAGACTTCCCTGTATAGTTTTCCCCTCACAAGTTAATCTTTCCGTCCATCGGTATATACCACCATTTTATTTTGTTCACCATAAATAAAATATTGATCCTGTGTGAGCAAACAGCATCCTTACTATAAGCAGTGTCCTAGCTCGGTGTCATCTGGGTGAACAGATGGGGCAAATTCGAATTGAACCGATATGCAGCCACTTCCCTCCTAAATTACGGAAAAAAAAAAAAAAAAAAAAAAAAAAGTTCTTCCAGGAACTTCCAAACCACACATCATAGACGTACACACAAAGTGTAGGAATTTTTTTCCCAGTGTGGAGCCCAACTCGGGGCTTGAACTCACAACCCTGAGATCAGGACCTGAGTTGAGATCAAGAGTTGGACGTTCCACCGACTGAGCCACCCCGGTGCCCCAAAATAAAAATATGGTTTCCATATTTTTGGCCCTTGAAATTCCAGTGTCCATCAAATGTTTTGGAATTCTCCTTTATCTTTAGGCTCCTGAGAGAGGATGAATAGATTCCAACCAAACTCTCGTGCCTCGGGTCACCCACGCGACCTCCTTTGGTGTTTATCTTCGGTCCGCCGAAAATGGAAGCCCTCTTCATAGGTGGGAACGGGCATGCCACCAGGGAAAATGATTTCCATCCTCCCTATCTTTGGCAATCCAGAAAGAAAAACACCCGGCATGCTTCATGGAAAGTTATGAGAAGAAACAAAAGTGTTTGAGTACTTCCTTTCTACCTCACTTAGAACAAAATGCCCGAAAACATGTGCTTTACGTGCTTTTGACTTTTAAATAGAGGCTTTAACATGAAATTCTCAAGTCTGCTTTCCCTTCACATTCCCCAGTGTATACCAAAGGCTCCCGTTCCACCTCTACAAATATTTACGAAGCGTTGTTTTTTCCTGCTGAAACTGCACTAGCTAGAAAGAGGTGCACGGGTACTTATCTGTAGGTTCATCATCTCGAATTTCAAAGTAATGGCAGAAAAACTCCTTCTTTTAAAATTGCACAGCCACGTGCGTAGGAAAGTTGCCACTCCCCGGGGTACACCCGCAGCTCTCCGAACGCTGGCTGTGTTCTCAGCAGAGCACAAGAACCTGGTGGAGAAGCAGGACAGGGGTCCCCCCGACCCAGGACCTACAGACGTGACAGTAGCTGAGGGCTGTAAGATTTAGAGAGAAGCCCAGAGAACACAGGACACAAACCAGCAGGGGAACCTCCTTCACAAACAGGAGGGAACCAGGACATAATAGCACCCTGCTCTTGAGCAAATAATCCCCCGGTCCAGGAGAACGGACTCCCTGCCGGCAACCCACAATCCTGTTTCTTCTTCCCCACTGTGGCCCACCATCCTGCCTCAGCCCAGCCCTCGCTTGCCAGAACCTACGTCATGTCTTCAGAGCGAAGGCGAGGAGCCTCCTCTGGCCCGAGCTAGGCAATTCTCTGCAGATTCTCCTTCCTTCCATGATGCTCCTCCTGGGTGCCTCTCTCCTCCTCTCTTTTTCTTTCTTACCCACTCCCATATTCCTGACTGTTTCCTACGTGTGGTAGTTCTCACACTGTCCGTGTGGCCCCACCACCCTGCTCCAGGGACAACTGCTAACCGGCCTCCCCATGTGTGTTTCCTGAAGATGTCTCAAATGCGAACCTGTCCAACCTGTGCCTTTTTTCTTTCATGTTGGGTATGCCCCGGGTACTATCTTGCTCACTTTGTTGATCACGCTATTCCCGGAGCATTTTGGTTCTTTCTCTGAAAGTCTCTCAAAACCACACCTCCATCCCTGCTTCGCCACCTCGGCCCTCACCCAGGCCCTTAGCTTGTCCTGCTCAACCTAAGATCCTTTCATCTGTCTTGCCTCCATTTCTCCTTTCTTGGAGGCAGTCTCCACGGTGCCATCCAGGTCAGATCATTCATGTATTTACTCACAATCTTACTAAATATCTCTGGGGCTAGACACTGTTCTCCATGAAGGGGGCAGAGCCTCAAAAAAGATTCCTTCCTCCTACTCGCAGAGCTTATGTCCTGGTGATGGAAGGTGAGATAAAGAATTAGATCATTTTAGGGTGTGATCCACTTTATTTAAGATAGAGACATAGTGGGGAGATGTTTTTGTGGGGTTGGGGACAGAGAGCTTCCCTGAGTAATATAAACAAGAGGATCGAGAAAGGTCTCTCTGAGGAGGTGGATATTTGCCTTAAATGAGGAGAAGGAGGCACTTCTGCAAAAAAAAAAAAAAAAAAAGGGGGGGGGGAGAACTCTCCAGACAGAGAGCAAGAAGAAGGTGGGAACCACTTGGCGGTTTAAATACTACAAAAGGAGAATGGCTTCAGGCCACTGTGGCCGAGCCTCTGCATCGCGTTACTGGCCTTGGAAAGGAACTTGGCTTTTCTTTGGTATCAGTCAAATAAAATAATAAGTAGGATCAAACCCAAATGATGTCTGTAACAGCCACCCAACTCCTCGGTGGGGCCCTGGTTTTCCCTCCTGCCTCATCTGACCTACAGGCCTCCTATACCTCGGCCTCCAATGCTGCCACACGATCCCCCTTTACTTGTGCCATCCTGGCCTATGTCTGGCAAACTCCTATCCACCCTTCAAAACCCATGCACAATGTCCCATCTCACAAAAATGAATGAATGAGTGAATGAATGAATGAATGCATGAATAAATAAATACATACGTAAATAAATAAATATCTGCTTCTTGTGCGCTCCAGGATACTTGTATACACTTTGGCGTCACGGTAACATGTGGAAGGCTTCTTCTTAGACTAGGGCCTCCTCAAAACCAGGGATAGAGCTTATCCATCTGTGTGCTCAGGACCTAACATGGTACCATCCAGGACAGGAACAGCCCCCAATGCATTTTCACAAACAGCAAATGAAATGAGTGTATTTCTGAATGGTGAGACTCAAGAAAGACCCTTTCTTTAAAATAATGTAATTTATTTCTATTACTCTCTTCACATTTATCCACAGGGATACAGGGCAAAGCATGTCCATTTTGAATAGGCTCAGCTGGATTAGCCTACATCCTACAGAGATTTTCAGGTCATCCATTCCCATTTTCCCTAAATACTCTCTCACACACAACTGCATAGGTTTGGACACAAAAAAGTAACGACTGCAAAAGTATAAAAGAAAGAAAAAAAAACAATGCCATAGGGTGGGTTTCAGAAGAATCTTTTGAAATAGATTCCACAAATATAGTCTTTGATGTCCTGATTTTTGATGAAGGAACAAAGCAATACAATGGAGAACTTAAAGTCTTTTCGGAAAACAGTGCTGGAAGAAATGGACATCCATGTGCAAAATAATGAATCTAGACACAGACTTTATGCCCTTCGCAAAAATTAACCCAAATGGATCACAGACCAAAAATATAAAATGCAAAACTATAGGACTCCTGGAAGGTTACATAGGAGAGAACTGACATGACCTTGGGTTTGGTGATGACTTCCAAGATATGACACCAAAGGCAGAATCCGTGCAAGAAATAATTGATGAGGTGG